AACAAGTCAGCTGGATAAATATTCCACAGTAATAATATTTTGTTGAGGCTCTTTGTGCTTTTCTGCTGGATTTGGGTCAGAGTTATAGCTCTAAATCAAATTGCTCCAGCAATACTTTTTCTTTTCGGAAGTCTGTTCGGAATTAGCCTTCATTTCATATTTCCCCTGCTGGATTACGTCCTTGTGCCCGATTGATTTGACCGCTTATCTCACATCGGAGGGTCTGGGATCTCGATAAGTGCCTCTGATTGGAAAACAAGGAGGTCCTGCGGCAACTGGGGCCGACTGGAGACTGAGAAACTGTGCTCAATTCAATTTACCACATTGATTGCATTCATTGCTGCCAAGGTTAGTCTGTAACCCCATTTAATAAAGTGACCGTGTCACTGGCCTTGTGTTTACCTGTCTGCATGCACTGGGCCATTTGATTTTATTACTATTCACAACACAAACATGAAACATATTTTATTCATCCGTGTTGGTGGGCAGTTTTCAATAAATGCAAAATGTGGACAAACCTGCAGTTATTACCACATGCCATAACTTTACAAATAATACTCTGTATGTACTCTCTCTCTCTGTACTCTTTTATGTCAGTGACTGACTGTCAGTGACTTTATTGCACTGTTCAGATAAATAATTGAATATTTTGTCCACTCCATTTATACCAGAACATAGACTAAATACTTTAACACCTCTCGGTGCGACGCAATTCAACATCACCACAAGTTACAGCCTCCAAAATGATAATAAAGTTGAATAAACACCTCTCACCAAAAAATTACCCACACCCTTTTACACATCAAATTGAAGGGCTTTTCAAGGACTTTCCAGGCCTAATTCCCTCAGACTAAAAGGCCCAACACAGCATAGTTTGGGATATTGATCAAGGTTAATTATTGTTACAACAGTGAGAATTTTATAATGAGGAGTAGCAGGCTTTACAGAAGCTCCCCGACAACAATTAAGAAAAGAGAGCAGCTTGAATGTGTGAACGCTTCTCAGTTGTGCTGTGTAGGTGGTGGCAGGTGGTGCATGAAACAATGACATAACTGTGGGAGACACGCGTGCAAACAGCTGAACGTGGCATATAAAAATGTCAAAAGAATTTCACTTTCTACAGAAGTGTAACGCATTCACTTGTGAAAAAAAAAATCTGCTGATGTTTTTTTGAATTAAGAAGATAATAACCTTGGTAATTCAAGAAGATTAGAGTCCTCTTTTTTTTTCTACATGCATACTTGTCTCAGAATTCTGAGATAACAATCTTGTTAATTCAGAGAAGAAACAAGCAATGTTCTTCCCAGTGAGTGCATTACGCTTCTTTAATGTAGAGTGCTGCAGAGGATGACGTTTTTCTTTCTTTCTTTCTTTCTTTCTTTCTTTCTTTCTCTTTTTTTGTAGCCTGACTTAGAAGTCAGCGTTGCCCTGGTTCCCTTATCACAAATTTGCGTTTCCTTGGAGAGCAAAGGACTGATCCACCCTACTCTGCCTTACTCTGCATTTGATTGGCTTACCCTGACATTCTTACCCTAACCCTAACCAATATAATTGCTGCTTTTGCCTAAACCTAACCAATTCAACGAATGAAGGCAACAACTACTGGCCAATCGTAGAGAGAGTTGGGTGGTTCATGCCCTTCACCATCCTAGGAAACACAAATTTTGCGGCAGTAGCTCAGTCCATAGGGACTTGGGTTGGCAACTAGAAGGTTGCCAACTCAAGTCACCGTCTGGACCAAATATGGAGTGTGGACTGGTAGCTGGAGATGTGCATATCTGCCTCTTGGGCACTTGCCCTTGAGTAAGGCACCACAACTGCCCAAAGCGCCTGTTCATGGGCAGCCCCCTTCACTCTGACACCTCTCCATTTAATGCATGTATAGGTCCTGTTCGTGCATGTGTGTGTATTTCTAGCCTGTGTGTACATGACAACAGAGTGAAAAGAATGTATTTCCCCTCGGAGAGTAATACAGTATATCTTCCTCCTCTTCTTCTTCAACAAAACACCAAGGGGATTTTTCTATTGGATTTTGGATTATTGAAGAAAATCAGCTTTGTGGCAAACAAACGCATATAATACTTCCATGTTTTGTTCAGCAAAATAATCCTCACAGACACCACTTTAATGGCTTTTGAAGCCTAAATGCAATCACAGAAGTACCATTAGGCTATACACGAACTACACTGTGGTCACATGACTTTTGCATCATCACCACAAGGCTTTAAATCCTCCTTCAGTGTGATGACACTCTGTAGTCTCATTTAGCCACTTGAAAGCAAACGCCTTTTTTTAAGACACATAAAAAGTTTAAAATCCACAAGTGGGGTATTTACAGACGTACTTTATGTCATAGAACAAAATGTGGAAGTCTCTTCCGCTTGTGTTAATCACACACCTCTCAGGCATCTAACCAAAATCCCATTCAAAAAACCCTATGACCCTATGACGAGGGAACCTGGGAGTGCTAAAATGCTAACTCATTCTGGGTTTTTGGACTCATTCTTGCACATATATAAAAATTCAAGCCTTGATCCAAATAATGAAGCAGATGAGTTCTTAGATATTTCTCATGGTTTTGTATACTTTCACTATAAATGTAATAAAACATTATGATGACTGAGAGATACCATAACATTAGAACATCTGAAAAATGTAATTTATTGAATTAAAACTAAAATGTTCTGGAAATATATTAATGTTAAATTTAGAGTGTTGTTTTTTTTTTACCTTTTTACCTGTAGCTAATCATCTTGGTAATAAGTTACATATTACAGGCATTAATTATCATTGTGGCGGGAGTCAACTCTTGTGGGATAAGGACCAGCTTCAGTGTCATGTTTGGTGCAGCAGGCTGGTGTAGTCAGCCCCTCCAGGAGGTTACCATGTCGCAATCGCAATGTCAATCAATCCTCCAATGGATTCTGTGCAACCTTGCAATTTTGTCCAATCACTGGCACTTTTCTACAAGTTTGAACAATCATTGTTTCCCGCAAGTCACCAAACTTCCTTGGACCTGATTTTGCAACATGAACATCTCACATTTACCAACAAAAATCACTGCTAAAGACTGTGATGTTCTCTAGGAAAATGGGGGTAAACTGTTTTCCCCAGTGTACAACATTATGGTGGAACACAGACATCAAATGACAAAATGGCTGAAACAAGTGGACAACAGACAAGACAAATCGCCATGACAGAGGCTGCTGTGAAGTACTAAGATGAGTTAGATAAGATACGCATGGTTAGTGCTAAGTGTAGTGTAAATCACAAAGTGAAAGAGGCCTGTTTGCGTAACTGTGTGTGTGTGTGTGTGTGTGTGTGTGTGTGATAAGGAAAATAGTATAGGAATAAAATGGTTACTTAAAACACCCAGAATAGTTTTATTTTCACAGGAACCAGTAACCTGTGGTTTTTAATGAATTATACCCCCAAAAAAGGCAGTTATTTTTCAGTCCCTGCAGGATGTAGTGATATTGCAATCAGAAAAAATGCAAATTCAGCCAATCCCCGTGAATTTATGGCAAATTTTACTATTTAAAACTGGTAGGATCTATTGTCGTGGCAGAGCTGCATGCAGTGCATTGATTCACTCAGCTCTTTCTCTCTGTTTATCATGAGACTGCAGCTGTGGGACTGAGTCACACACAAACACAATGACAGAGCTAACTGTTAGCATCACATGGCTAACGTTTCCTAAAGGTTACTAACCGGTTTAATGTCAGAGTCGAGCCGTTTTGGTGTCGGTGTGAGATTAACGGCTTGGTGTCTGATGTTTTCTGCTGAGAGGCTTCTGCCCAAGTGGCAAAATATGACGAGTAGGGGTGAAATCACGTTATGCCATGTTAGCTCATGCTATCCTGGAAGAGACCAGGAGAAGAGCAGCTCATAGATATGGTCCTTAAGCAGTGTCTTAGAACAGATGTCCCCTCCACAATCCCCACCGTCACAGCTAGATTCTAACTCTGTGGGAAACACTGACTGCTCATAATACTAAGCTCAGAATCTGAGACAGCATCACAACTATTCTTGCAGTTTTCACTTACCCCGATTTTTCGTTGCCAAAAATGCCTATAAATCTGCAAGATGCATCGCAATTATTTAGAAGAGCTGCCATGCTGCAACAATGCCCAAAACAGCCAGTAAAATCCTGGAGGCACTGTTTAGAACAGTGGCATGAGTTTGTAGGACGGTTTGACTTTCTGACCCCTCCCACCCATCACAATGCTCTATATAGCACAGTGGATGTGGGATGCTCATAGGGACGACTTATGTTCTCTCACGTTGCCTTTATTGCGATGCTCTTTGTGATGTCAGCTCTACCAAGGTGCTATAAACATACGTATTACTCACTACTGTTTATCATTTGAGTGCATGCTTGTGTCTTACATGATGGATCAGCTGGCCTTTAAAGGTTACTACCACAAGCATGCCGTAACTTCAACAAGGCCCTAATGAAGCTCCGACAGTCACTTAACGCTTCATCAGATCAAGAAAGGATCTTGTAGGAGATGCTTCGCCTGCTGGCTTAAAGAATGCCCATCCTTGAGAACGTGATGACATTTGTCATGTTGAAGTGACATTTTTAAAGGTGGCGATGGGAAGAAGATGGGAAGCCATGTTGCCCAAAGTAACCTTTTCTTTCAAAGTTCCTTTTATACTGACATTTTAAGGGAACTTGAGATGATGGGGAGGAGGTGGGTAAGTTTGAATTAGGCACTTTGAATAAGGTGCATGGTGAATCCTATGCTATTTGGAAGCTGAGGAAAGGACTTTGTTGTTTTCCTGAGACAAAACATGTCTCTGTCGGTATTCTTGTTTCATACACTAGGAATGTAAACCAGTGGAAAACTATTGGATGGTCTACAGTAGACGTCCTCAGCAACTAAAGGTCAATATCCTCTAATACAGCACCACTGCAAGTCAAAAGGCAAATCTTTTATGACAGGGAATGTACCAATTACAGGTTGCAAAAAAGTATTACACAATTTAACAACTAATAATTGCAAAACCAATGTTTTAATTATATTAACACTCAAATGAATATGAGTCATGAAATACTTTTAAAAGGTTGATTACGTGCAACAGTTCAAGGCAAAAAAAAAGCATAAAACAGAGGCCTAACAATCTAATCATATGCAGGCAAATTAATAATAAATTAAAAGGGTTTAATGTCATTAAGGATTACAGCAACCCAACAATGCTGTAGTGACTGGGAGAGAAATATACATTTTTTTTGCATTTCAGGATTCCCTGACATTAAAGAAAAAAAATCAACACAAATTTCTTTAGTAGAGTATGCAGCACTCTAAATCTTATCCACTAATAATACCTCTCATTGTTAGTGTTTTGGAAGATTCATGTTCATCTGTTTTCTGTGTTTTTTTCCCTGTGGTTCAAGTCCTGGGCAGGTTATGGAAACACTTGGCATGTAGTCTTGGATCGTTTTTTTTTTTCTTCTTCCAGATTGCATTTCCGCAGAGTCTTTGCAGCAAAGTAAACATATGAACCAACAACAAATAAGACAAGAAAATGAAAGAGGCACATAGGGCATTTCTCAAACGACAAATTTGTTCTTGGTGGTTGAACCGCTTTTGGTAGCTGTGTCTGCGTGAGATTGGTAGCCGATAGTCATCTTCATGGGAAGCCCCAAGCGCTCCTTGTAAACTCTCCTGTTGACAGAAGAAAGACACCGTGAGAGGATGCAGGGAATCATTTGTATTTATGAATGGAAATGTTTTGATGCAGAAGACACGCCTCACCCTATGTGTGTTACGGCATCCCGGTTCTCATAGTCTGATGTCCAGACGGCTATTTTATCTCCTTTCGTGCGGATGTTGACCACAGCTCCACAGACGTCATCGCTGTAGTCGTCAAAGGCCTCTCCGACTAGGCACAGGAGCTGTTGAAGAGATGAAGTGGAACAAAAGCTATTGTCATAACCTGTTTATTCACATCTCCAACTTGATTAAGTAGAAATACTCCACATGGATCAGCAAGAAGTTTGAGATTTTTTCTCATAGCTGCACCAGTTTTACAAGAATGTTTTCAGGCTTTGTGGCAATAGAATGCTGCAGCAAGAGTCCCAAAGGCCAAGACAATGGCCAAAAGTTGCCCTTGAACACACCACAAAGACTACAGCTGACTAGCATGTATGTTCTGCGCCTGCGTGAGAAGAAATACCTCTATAACAGCATGTGGTGGTAGTCTGTATTCATCGTTCAACAAGGAAAACCAGAAGACTGAAAGGGCGGATTCAAGACATTAGCTAGCCGATGCCGAATTATCAAATGATATTTACCACAAGCTAGTGAAAAATACAACATGCTGATTCGTCTGAAAAACAGCCGACTGGTGACAATGGTGCGGGAACCGTTGGCTTGGTTTGTCAGAGCCCTAAAACCTGGAGGTAAGTTAGCATTTATGCACTTGTGGGTCCCTCTTGTTGAAGTCAGTGAGTTTTTTGGATGTGTTTTTGGTTAGACATGGATGATAAACAAGGTCTGCGGTTAACACAAGCTTAAGAGACTTTCACAGTTTGTTTTCTGACATATATCAGTTAATACCCCGTCCGAGAATGTGGAAGCTTTTACATGTCTTAAAAAAACCTGGTTGCTACGTGGCTAAATGAGACTACAGAATGCCATCATGCCGAACATGGATTTACAGCCTCATTGTGGTGGTGACATTAAGGTCATTCGACTGTGGTGTAGTTTATTTATAGCCTAGCATTAGCTTTTTACTTCTGGTGATTGCATTTATACTTCAAAAATCATAAAAATGGTGTTCATTTGTGAAGATTATCTTGCTGAACAAAATGTGTAAGTATCATTAATGTTTGTTTGTCACAGAACTTATTTTCTGCAATAATCCAAAATCCAATGAAAAAATAGTAAATAATTTCTATTTCAGCAATCTTTACTATATAATGACGTAAACTCTGTCTGTGTGTGTGTCTGTTTCACGTTTTTCTCCTCACTGACTTGGTCAGTCCATGTAAAATTTGGCACAGTGGTAGAGGATCATGGGAGGATTCGAATGAAGCAATATTACACCAATTGGTCTAAGGGGGGCGCTATAGCAACCGACTGAAATTGCAAACTTTGAATGGGCATATCTCATGCCCCGTATGTCGTAAAGACATGAAACTGTGCACAGAGATGCCTCTCCTCATGAGGAACAAATTTACCTCAAGAACCCATAACTTCCGGTTATATAGATTTTCCACCATTTTGAATTTTTTGAAAAACACTTCGATCTCTTCCTAGAAAGTTTGACCGATCTGCATGAAACTCAGTGAACATAATCTAGGGACCAATATCTAAATTTCCCTCTTGGCAAAAGTTGGAAAACTTACTAAAACTGAGCTTCTATAAGGCAATGAATATTGCGGAGGGCGTGGCTCATCACATAAAGGTGTATAACATCTCAAGGGTTTCACCGATCACCACGCAACTTTGTAGGCATATGACCACACATAATCTGAGGGGACCCCTCCATTATTGACCCCATCAAACAAAATGGGGGCGCTAGAGAGCTAATTTCTTATCTAGGCCTAAC